AGATCTCTGAATTTCTCTATAATTACATTTAGCAGAGGAAAACAACCTGAACCAGGTCTGTGCGGAGCAGCTCTCTGCAATCTGTCAGCTGCTCACAGTGCTGTAACCCACTGATCACCGCCTCAGCCCTTCCATAAATACTGCAGGCTGTGTGCGTGTGGTTTACGGAACTTCACAGGTTTCCATGGATACGTGAATTTTAGTGCTAAAGCACATTTACTATTGCTTTTCTTGTCACCAAGAGTCCTGTAAACACTTGTGCTTTAARATTTTGTGCAGAATTTTAGCATTTTATAGAGGAAAAGTCAGAATTAACTTTTTTCCAAATACACTGCATGATTTTCCTGTAGGGCCAAGGCCCTGAAATCATTTATATCTTTGGCCTCCTTTTAGTGATGTATTTTTATTTATTAGACAAATAAAAGACATAACTAAAATAAAAACCAAAATAAAAGGCTTAACTACATGGCAGGATCACTTTCAAGTGACATATTTATAGTATGAAAATGTTACAATTAATAAATAAGGCAACTTGCTCTGAATTTAAATGTGAAAAGTGATAACTCAGAAAAGCAATTATAGGAATACTATGCATATATTTAACCATTTTTCTTCCTAAATATGGTGAAATTTAAGGGTGATTTTTAAAGATCTCTTTCTGTCATATTTATTGATAAACTTAAGTTTAAATTATTCTTTCTTATATCCATTAAGCTTTTTATACAGTAAAAAATCTGTGACTGTGGACTGCCATGGTCACAGATTTTTCCCATTTCATACATGTATAAGCAGAGGCTCAGAAAGTGTGTAAGGACCATGCCCCATGTAATACTGCTAGCAAGCGGTTCAGCTGAGACTGGAACCCAAGACTTCTGTCTCCCTGCCTGAGGCTTTTACAGTGTCTTTTTCTTGGGCAGACCACAGGCTACTTCTACAGAAGGGGTATCCATTTACTGACAGGTTTCTGTGCCTCTGTCCTAGACTCCATTGAATCATTCCTTTCTCTATCCATTCCTCTAAACTGTCCCCAGAGATTTGAGTCTGCTGAATTTACCAACTTAGTCATTTCAAATGAACATCAGCATTGGAAAGCAGCAATCACAGAGGCCACTCTTATCTTGGATGTGCAAGACTTGAGGAATCTACAAGAAAACTAATTTTTAAGTTTTAAGCATATTGAGTAAGAAAGCACAAAGCAGAATGAAAGAGAAGCCTGAAAAATTTGTACAAAAAAAAAAAAATACAATCTGAGCTCTTGTGTCTGCACTTTCAAGTCAAAGAAAAAGCTTTTACTTTAATAGCATGGAATCTGAGGRCCAGTGTTGGAGCTATCAGAACAATGTCTCAACTCTCACTCATGGTGCTAATGTAGCCAATGTATCATCTCTACAGATATCTCCTTTAAGGCCATGAGATCTTCAAAAGACCATCTTCATACCAGGTCTTATTCAGCTTGTATTGTACAGATCTTTTATTTTTGTGGGTCTTATTTTTTTAAYAGCATGTAGACAATGTTTATTTATTTTACCTTTAATTATTAAGATACTTGAATTTATATCCACTTCTTTTCTTACTTTTGTTTTGAATTGGCAGATAATAATTGTATATATTTATGGAGGCTTTTTTTT